CGGGCCATTAAAGACCGAGGCAAAGAAGGCGTTGAGTATCAGCCTTTTCCTCATCTTTAGTGGCAATGTTCCCCCTTGCATCCACTAGAGGATGGAGGTTCTCCCTGGCTCTCTTTTTGCTTTTAACGTATTTGTAAAAACTTTTCTTATTATCCCTTACAACAGTGGCCAGGTTGAGTTCTAGTTGGGCTTTTGCCTTTCTAATTTCCTCTCTGCATGACCTGACAAGATCCCTGTACTCTTCTTGGGTTGCCTGCCCCTTCTTCCAGAGCTGGTAAGCTCTCCTTTTTTTCCTTAGTCCTGGTAAGCTCTCCTTTTTTTCCTGAGTCGCAGTAGTAGACCTCTGTCCAGCCAGGCTGGTAGTCTTCCTTGACGATTTGTCTTATGGCACATGGGGACAGCCTGGTCATGTGCCTTTAAGACTTCTTCCTTGAAAAATACCCCAGCCTTCCTGGACGCCTTTGCCCTTCAGGACTATCTCCCAAGGGACTCTCCCAACCAGCATTCTGAACAGGTCAAAGTCTGCCCTCCAGAAGTCCATGGTGGCGGTGTTGCTGACCCCCTTCCTTACCTCACCACAGATCGAAAACTCTACCATTTCATGATCACTAAGGCCAAGATGACCTCCGACTACCACCTCTCCCACCAGTCCTTCTCTATTAGTGAATAGGAGGTCAAGCAGGGCACCTTCCCTGGTAGGCTCACTTACCAGCTGTGTCAGGAAGTTATCTTCCACACACTGCAGGTAATTTTATCACAGAGTGCATTTACTTGCAAGGATTATGTTTTCAAGGTAAAATGTAGTGGAGAAGAAGGTAAATGGTTTAGTGTGAATAAGGGAATACAGCCTATTCTTCAGTTGCGTAGAGTTGTGGAGTGCAAGTTCATAGTAAGAGAAGGGTCCATGAAAACATCTTCAAAAGCTTTTGGTTCCCTTCCATTTCATGCAGCCTCTGAATAGTGTCACTGTGAACAGAGCGTTCATCAGAAGACCTCTTCCTTAAACTAAATTGAAGAGAAATCTTGTTATACTTGCCAGTTAGCTATGTAGGCATTGGAATTAAGCTTTTTTTACTGGCTCTTATTTATGCCTTTTGGCTAAGTTAAACCCTTCTAATGCAACATTAACCTTATTTAGTTCTGTGCATGGTAGTTATGTAACAACTTTCCTTGCTGTCTGTGAGTTTTCTTGTTTCTTTCTGTGCTTTTAAAAAACCCTGTTAGATTCTAAACAGAGAAATTGGGATACTAAAGAACTGTAATGTATAATAATATTTCATAGTAACCCTTTGGTGCTGAGCTCATATTGAGGATTGATAACTTTATGGGAAATAGGGAGATGATGTTTATCCCTGCTAATAGATTTTGATTTTTTTTTTTGGAGCAAGGTCTCTCTCTTTCCACTTGTGAGGGGAATGGTTCTTGCTTCTGGAATAATAATATCCTGTTCTTGGTTGTTGTGAGTGTATCTTAGAATATGTTTGGGGGTGATGAATTGGATAGTGTTGCATTGTGTAAAGTATCTTTTTCTGGAAAGTTCATAGTTCATTTTGTTTAACTTTGCCTAGATGTACAATCTCAGAAAATATATCCTGTATTGTGGGGGGGGAGGGGAAAACCCAAACCCACCCCAAACCCAACAACTTCAAAGTAGACTAGTTGATTGACCTCTAATGTGTATGCACATGCTGTTATTGAGATGGAATCAGTTTTACTTCAGTAAGAGAATTCATTCAGGGGTTAGTTTGGTGTAACTAATCAGTTTAAAAACTAAATTTGAAATAACTTTTCAGACATTTACATATAACACAGATTTTAATGCATCTTTATTCAGACAACTGAAAGAATTTTGAGCATTAGGGACTTGCTTACTTGCATCTCCAATGTTTGTTTGCTTAATTTCTGTCACACCAAGTTTCTTACAAAATTTGTTAGTACAGCTGAACTTGTTTTAAAAATTAATTTAACAAATATTACAAAACTGCAATAAAATTAGTAGGAACTCATACAGTCATTGATACTCATTTACTGCAGAATTGTCAGGTATGTTTGAATCATTGGCCCCTTGGTTGTTGGCTTTTGTTTTTTTTTTAAAAATGAGGGGATTTTGAAACAATTTCTAGGTTATTGTGCCTGGACTTTGTGAAAAGGTGAATATTCAAGTATTAGGGCATTTTGGATGTCTAATAATGAATCATATTTTTAACTTACCTTTCAATGTGTTTTGGTGGAGTGGGGAATCTGAAGATTAATACTAAAGGAGAATAACATGTTAAAAATACAAACTTAAGAGGTTTAGGGGACCTCCTGTAGCTAGAGTGTTAAGTTCAGAAAGTGATCTTTAAATGTGACAGGTGTTTCATTTATTTTGCAGGGTCACCAAAATCTTTAACACCAGCGTGCTATTAAAAGTTGATCCATTTCTAATCTACCTCAGAGTTTTGGGGGTGTGTGTGTGTGTGTGTGTTTCATCTCTGCCAACCTCCTTCATCTTCCTCCTTCTTTCCTGCCAATGCAGAGTGCATCTTCCCGCTGCTTGCCTGCCCTAGCTTTTTGGGCTGTTGCCTCCTCGCAGCAGCTCCAGCTGTGGTATGGAATTCAAGCTGATATATTCAGCAGGACATTTAGTTTTGTGTTCTGTCTGGTGGTGGTGAACTTCATGAGTTAGTAACCAGTGAGGGTGAGGTACTGCTGTCTGACAGTAGTGTTTGAGTAGATAAATGTAAAATCTATGGCGGCGAATTCCATAGCAAGTTTCTTAGAATGACTGATAGGTTTTAATTTCCAGGAGAAAAACTGTGTTTGAGTTTGTATGTCATCTGCTGTTGTATTTGGTAGGTATTCAGAGAAAAATGTATGTATACCTGAAATAAAAGTAGTATAAGAGGCATTAATAAAGCCTGTATTTGTGAGAAACAGTTTCTGTGATGACTTTGTGTTTCTTCTTTCTTCCTGATATCCTTCAAAAAATAATTTCTTTTTTTCCCCAGAGTTAAGTGCCATTGTACGCGTTGTGACGTGCCCCAGTCCCACACAACTATGGCAAGGGTTAAGTTATATTTTTTAGATATGGGGATTGGAAGGAGGCAGTGTAGCAAGTCACACCCTTATTAACTCACTTATTGCTCATTAACAGCTGTGTCCTGGTTTTGGCTGGGATAGAGTTAATTTTCTTCCTAGTAGCTGGCACAGTGCTGTGTTTTGGATTTAGGATGAGAAGAAGGTTGATAACACTCTGATGCTTTAGTTGTTGTTAAGCAGGGCTTACACTAGGCAAGGACTTGTTCCACTTCCCCTGCTCTGCCAGGTGCTCAAGAAGCTGGGAGGGGGCACAGCTGGGACAGCTGACCCCAACTGGCCCAAGGGGTATCCCACACCATATGACGTCATGCTTTGGGAGGGAATTGGCTGGGGTGGGGAGATGGGACTGCAGTCACTGCTCGGAGACCAGCTGAGCATCGGCCAGTGGGTGGTGAGCAATTGCATTGTGTATCACTTGCTTTGTATATTGTTATTATTATTACTACTACTACTACTGCTATTTTACTGCATTTTATTTCCATTATTAAACTGCTCTTACCTCACCCCATGGGTTTTCTCTTCCAATTCTCTCCCCCATCCCACCAGGAGGGGGGAACAAGCGAGCGGCTGGCTGATGCTTAGTTGCTGGCTGGGTTTAAACCATGACAAGTTCAAAACAGGGTTTGTAATGGAAACATGTAAAGGAAGGTGCTCTGACTGTGTAACTCTCCGCTTTTATTTCAGACATCTCTGCAACCTTCATACAATGCCTTTGTGTGCATACATTTGATAGCTTTTGAGTTACATTACCACACCAGTTCTTTTCCAAAGAGCTGCTGTCTTACATGAGTAGAGGTTGTTCGGAATTTTGCGATGAGGGAAACAGATTTCTGTATGACTGTACCTTCTTTTGTTGCAGGTGCTGGGTGATATGTTGTGAATGAAACAAGAATGAAGGGCCATCTGATCATAAGCCAATGAAGTGTATCATATGATAACAGCATTCTGTCATGAAAATTTGTGTGATGCTAGGCAAAGAGCACAAATTAAAATCTTCTGTCTGTTTTTTGTTTTCCTAGAAGCAAGCTAGAGATTCTAGGATGTGGTTTGCAAATTGTTGAGTATTCAAGGTGCAATTGAAGTCATGGAGCATTGAACATGAAGTGCTCAATGTTCTGAAATGTTGAGCAATAGCTCTTCCCATTTTTGGCACCCAAAAGTATGCTGGCTTGACAGATCTTTCTCTATCATATTTTCCATATATAGAAAGGAAATAATAATATTCTTCCACTGAGCAGGCCTGTTTTCCAAATAGCATATTAATATTGCTGGTATAAATGGATGTTGTAGTGAGGAGCACTGTAGCAAAGACTCTAAGGAAATTGCTACTTCTAGAATGGGGAATAAGCCACGCGTGGCAGATGTGAACAGTGAAAAGAAGATAAAGTGTTCAGCTGTCTTTCTGAAAGTATTTTCTTTTCTTGAATATGCAGGGACCCTGTGACTGTGTAGCTTGCAGTGTTCCAGCTGCTGATCCCTGAGCTGCAACTAGTCTATGTACAGGTGCTTCTCTGCAGCCTACCAACAACTCCTTAAGAGAGAGAGAGAGATAAAGAGAACCACTGCTTTAATACCAAGTAGTTCCTCCTGTCCTGATCCACAAAGCCTGGATTGAAGTGCTTTCATTAGTGCTATAGAAGAGTGATAAGGTCTGCTGCTCCCGAGGAAAGAACAGGAAAAGAAGAGGAGATTGCACAATTAGGCAGGAAAGGGCTGCTGTTACGTAGTAAGGGAGAAGACAAGTCTTAAGTGTGGTGGGAGAGTGGGGAAGTAGGCTTCTGGTGCTGAGGCAGTGTATTAAAACTACAGAGGGGTTTCCAGAACTAAGATCAAGCCCCACAGGAGCCAGGATCAGATCATTCACACTGAATTTCAGAATCTGTACTTGCTCCAGTTTTTATGAAATTGCATGCACAATGGACTCTTTTTAATTCTGTTTGACTTGGAAACCTTAATAATGCTCTGTTGCATTTTGAGTTTTTGTTTGGGAGTTTGTGTGACAAATGTGTGGAAAATAAACTTGGTAACCATTCTTTTCCTGTTGATCATACTCAGTTCTCAGTAGATGGCACACTCAGGATAATGAGAATTCTCTGAGGTCCTTTCTACAAAAGAGGTAGAGCAAGAAGAGAAAAAAAAAATGCTTTTGGTGCTACTATTGATTTAGCTATGCTAATGGTAATTGCCAAGACTATGTTTTACTTCTACCCATGCCTACTTTTTTTTTATTGAAATTAAACAATTTTTATGCTCAACCTAACAAATGTGATCGAGAGCTGGATTGATCAGTGCTTTTTCTTGTTGCTGCAGTCACATTCTTTCTTTTTCTTTTTTCTTCTCTTACAGAAAAGATGAGTGTGCCAGCTCAGTCTGTGCATAAAGACAATGGGAAAACTATTGAGAATGTGGAGGAGCACAGCTATAAGCAAGGAAAAAAGATCCGAGACGCCCTAAGGACAACAGAACGAGATCACAAGAAAAATGTGCAGTGCTCATTTATGTTAGACTCAGTTGGTGGGTCTCTGCCAAAAAAACCAATTCCAGATGTTGATCTCAATAAGCCTTACCTCAGCCTTGGCTGTAGCAATGCTAAGCTTCCAGTCTCTGTGCCCATGCCAATACCCAGAACTGCACGCCAGACTTCTAGGACTGATTGCCCAGCAGACCGCTTAAAGTTCTTCGAAACCCTGCGGCTTTTGTTAAAACTTACCTCAGTCTCAAAGAAAAAGGACAGGGAGCAAAGAGGACAGGAAAACACCTCTTCTGTCTGGCTGAACCGATCCAATGAACTGATCTGGCTGGAGCTGCAAGCTTGGCATGCTGGCCGGAGCATTAATGACCAAGACCTCTATCTCTATGCAGCCCGTCAAGCTATCCCTGATATCATCAATGAAATCCTCACCTTCAAAGTGAACTATGGAAGCTTCTCCTGTGTAAAAAATGGAGCCAGTCTCAATGGTACTTCAGGAGAAGGAGTTTGCAAAGCAACATGTGGAACTAGTGCTTTGGGTTACTCAAGTTACCACGAACACCTCCATCGCCAGCGGGTCTCATTTGAGCAAGTAAAGCGGATAATGGAGCTGCTAGAGTATATAGAAGCACTTTATCCGTCTCTGCAGGCTCTTCAAAAGGACTATGAAAAGTATGCTGCAAAGGACTTCCAAGACAGAGTGCAGGCACTCTGTCTATGGTTAAATATTACGAAAGACTTAAATCAAAAACTAAGGATTATGGGAACTGTATTGGGCATCAAAAATCTTTCTGACATTGGCTGGCCAGTGTTTGAAATTCCTTCTCCTCGACCATCTAAGTACAATGATCCAGAGGATGAAGAAGTTGATAGGGCAACAGAAGTAAAGGAATCCTCAGGAACGTGCACAGAGGAGAGCGATGGTGAAGAACAAATCTCTGAGGAGAGTGTTGAGGAACTTAGACAAGCCATCAAGAACAATTTTACTAATAAGCCAAATTTTGACTTTCAGGACCATTTTTCAAGGAGGCTTGATAGGCTTGAATCTGAGGATGACTCCACCTCTTGGGTTATTCCAGAATGCAGTGCTGAGACAAGCTGCAGCCAACACTGTTTGACCTCTATTTACAGGCCGTTTGTAGATAAAGCACTGAAGCAAATGGGGTTGAGGAAGCTAATTTTAAGACTGCACAAGCTAATGCATGGTTCATTGCAAAGGGCCCGTATGGCGTTGGTAAGGAGTGATCATCAGCTGGAGGTAGGTTGCTGCTAGTGTAAATGGGTAATAGGAGTACCTCCCCTGCTATATTGTTTCTAACGGAAACTGGGGGAATTGGGATCTTAGGAAAATCCTGGTTGCTTTGTTGGTTTTTGAAAGATAGCGTATGTTATGATTAAGAGCCTAGTTCTGCTTCCGCTGAAACGAATCTGTCATTTGACCTGAATTAGAATTTGTGTGAAGCACAAGCTAGTCCCCTGTTCTTGTTTGTAATGGAAATGACATTTTAATGATAACATCTTCGCTCATGACATTTTCTAATGTCTAAAGCCGTAAGTCAGAAAAATTACAATGGAAAATTAGGTACAGAAGTTGAATCATGAGAAAAATTAGCTGTGGAAGTGGTCACTTTCCTTTTCGTGTCTTCAAGACTGGATATCTCTCTGCAAGACATCCTTTATGAAAACATAGCTATTATTTTGGGGTTTTCCTCATCTAAATGATGAAGTGCTCTGGTGGCGCGTTATGCTTGAGCCAGATTGGATAAATGAATGGACTCTCTTAACCTTGCAATCTACAAAAGCAAGTCATGTTAGCATGTTGCATTTTTCAGCTGGCTCTTAGTTTAATTTTTCTTTGTTTTGGGTCATTTTACATTCTTAATTAAGAATCATTGTGAGTTAATAAAAACAAAATTATGAAGTAAGAAGTAAACAAAGGACAGTAGCTGAAGTTTCATATGGTAAGTTGTAGTCACTAATTCTTTCGTTTCTTAATATAAACTGTTATCTAATGTGTAGGCATTTTTATATTATGAAGAACTGGTAGTAAGGATTACTTGCCCTTCTCAATAAAATGGCACCATGGATTCTGGACAAAGGAATTTCTTAGCCAACATGCCTATTCTAATATGGATACCATATGGGGTCTTTGACGTGTTGATGATCTCTTAGCATTGACCGTCACATTTGCAAAAGGAACAAGAATTGTTTATCTCCCTTGGAGGTTATTTTTTTTTAGGATGAATAAATTTATAAAGTTACTTGACTTTGAAAAAGCTTTTATTTGAACTGATGTGCTAATGTCGATATTACTGTCAAAAATGAAGCTATTAGTTGAATTTTTATTTATTCTCTAATTGGTTTCAACTTGTGTTCTAGGAAGTTTTGCATTAAGAAAATACTTGTGTATTTCTAGAGAGTCATGTGCCTAAGCAAAACTTGCAGGTATCTGTTACAGTAACCAAAAGTACACCTAAACCACATATACTTAGATAGAAAGTTCAGCTTAATATATAGGTAGAAATACCTTTAAAAAAAACCAGTGGACATAAAACATAATTTGGGGGTATTGAAAACTACTTTGAATGTATTTTTGAAATTGCTAAATATCCCAAATGTTTTGACTTCATAAGGGTTCTTAAAAGAAGTTAATGAAATACTGGTAGCTAGAGTCTTTGCTGCAGCTTCACAGAATTAACTTTTGTGCTAATTTAGCATTGGATGACTTGCGTAAGATGTCAGGTTAATCTTTTCTCCCTCCTTCTCTATATTTGCGGCTTGAATGTTCATTTTCACTAACTACTACGTTTTCTTTAGAATATTGTCAGCTTTTAAGAAATTACTTTCTGACTAAAGGTGAATGTTATAAAATTGTAAACTTCTTTCCTGCACAAAAATTAAATGAATGCTGTCAAAAAAAGAAAATACTGTTTGTCAGAAGTGTGGTACTTACTGCAGCAAAAGATGACATCAGAATAAAATAGAAGAGTTGGTTTTGAATTGCTTGGTTTTTGCATCTGACAGTACTTTGAATGTAGAATCTTGGGTTTTTTTAGTGCAGTTCAGTTTGATATTAGTATGCAGCCGGAGCTTCTGGTTACTTCTGGTTTTTTTATATCTTGACTCTGTGTTCATGTGTGTACATACACTTTAAAATCTCTGGACATACTTCCATTTCTGTTGTTACTTAAACGCTATCTCGCATCTAAAATGTGCTTTCTGGGTTCTTCCACTGTATGCATTTTAATGCTCATTTCATCTTAAATGTATGTAAATGTTTATACAGATGGCTGGTTTTAGTGTTTTTTGAAGTACAAGTTTCATTCCTCATAGGCTCAAGGCACTATAGAGTCTGTTTTTTGTAGAAGTTGTATTATTTGATTCTTAAAGAAAATGGCTAATATTTCTTATTTTGGTTTACTAAATCAGAAGTGTTATTTTAGTATAATTTAAGCCCATGTACCCTGTTTAAACAAATATTCAACTGGCTGCACTTTTGAGTATGGATTTTATATATGACCTCAGTAAATGGCTTGGACTTTGTTTTCTTGGTTTTTTTTTAAGAACTGTTTGGTAGTCACTTCAAACATTTCAGACTGGGCCTGCTGAAGACTAAGATTAGTCAAACTGAACAATAGAAGTTTAGATGTCTAATACTAAGCCCTAACGTCATGTCCTGTTACCCTTAATGTTAGAAAATGAAATAATATGTTTCTTCAATTTAACTGTGTTGGTTTTACTCATAGACTAGTTCTTTAGTATTTTTATAAGAACTATTTTTTCCAACACTGTACTTGCATCACAATGAGGAATGTATTTCTTTAAATGTTTTGTTATACTGTAGGAGTGCAGTATTTTCATGATCTTTACTAATGAAAACCTCTTGTATATAAGCCTTTAGCTCTGGTGCTATTCTGGCACTATGCGTTTCTTTAAAAGAGAGTGAGTAAAAAGAAGACGGTAATATGCCATCTAAGAAGATAAGTTCTTATACTGTAGATCGACTAGTGGTTAAACTTCAACTAAACCTAGGTATAGAGGAAATCCCCACTCATGCATGTTTGCTGTCTCTGCATAATGAGCTAGTGGTTTTATAAACCACCTAAGAATCTGCAGCACATAATACGTTTTGTGCCAACGTTAGTCAGTAACGAATATGCCATTCCATCCCCCATGACAGCTGAGAAACATTGCAATACTAAAAAATAAAAACACCAAGAAAACTGAATGTCAGTAGCTGTAATTTTGTGTGGCTCTTCTGAGAAAGAAGAGCTTGTATGACACTGTAGGCACAAATGTAAAAAATGTGTGTTTAGGTGTAAAGGAATAAACAATTTTAGTTTAATTTTTTTTTATTGTCTACTAGGTGACAAGCTTAAAAGTGGTGTAATTTTTTTTTTAACTTTCTAGGTAGCACTTAATCATCTGATCTAATTTCTGGTAATTTTTTCCTCTCCTTTGAAGTGCTGTTATTTAACTTTGGCACTGAAGAAAAACCTAAAAAATGCTAGTTATGCCTAATATACAAATGAAGGATATTCAGGTGTCATAGTTAGCGGCTGTGAAATGGAATGAGAATAAACCAAACTTAATCTGAAACAAATCTTATCCTTAGACGATGTACAGTGTGTTGTTATCTTTGAGCTGCACACATACTGCAGTCCAAATTTTCTTCCTAAATTAAACCCGAGTGCTTCCATGTACAGTTTTGCTTAGAATGTTACCACAAGGTATACAGTTTAGAAATCTAGGATGTCTATTTCAGATCATATAAGTTATTTTCTATAATTAGAAATGTCATTTCATTTAAATGTAATTTGCGTTTAAATGAAAAATAAGTTTATTAATTGAAAAGACTAGATTGATCTCTTAATATTTTATCTAACCCTTTTTAAATTTCAGTTTCAATTTCTTAACATCTACCAAAGTTCCTGAGTTATTTTTTCAACAGTTCTGTTCAATTTAGCTAGTGATACTTTCTTGAATATTGCATTACTTTACAATGTGGAGTTTTATGTAATATATCCACTATGTATTTGCAAGGGAATGAGGTTAGTCACCTTAGGTAGCCAAGTGCAAACTCACTTCTCTAGGTGTAGTCATTAGTGTAAGACTTTTTATTTATTTATTTGTTAATATATTTTGAAATTTTCAAGTATTGTATCTTGTAATGTTCCTATATATTATGTTTGGCTTGACTTGTATGTTCATCTTAACCTCAAACAGCAGTTTCTTCCTGTATAGTGAAGTGATCTCTGGCTTTAATGGATGCTTTAAACATTTTAAAACAGAAACATAAAGTAAGAGATTGCTTTGTTCACTCCCAAAGGTCCATAATAGTTTTCCTCAGCCTGGTGATCCTCAAATATAGAAAATAAAAAAAAAAAAATAAAAGATAAATGGAAGGTTCTGTGGTTGATGTGCCAGTTAAAATAGAATCTTACCTTTACAAAACAGACTTTTGTGCATGCACAATTTAAGGATCCTTTTCATGATACCTATTTCTTGTTACAGTTTTCAGAATTTCCAGATCCCATGTTATGTTCAGATTACGTGCAGTTATTAAATTCCCCACCTTGTTGTGAGCAAAAATGCAGCACTGTATCATGGGAGGAGCTGAAATCCATGGATTTACCGTCTTTTGAACCTGCATTCTTGGTCCTCTGCCGAGTCCTGCTCAATGTTATCCATGAATGTCTCAAGCTAAGGTTGGAACAAAGACCTGCTGGGGAACCATCTCTTTTGAGTATTAAACAGGTTTGCGTCAACTGTTTCTTTTTTATATTTCCTCTTTGAAATGACTTTGTCATTTCGTTACAGTAAGGTTGTTGGTTTAAAGAGGATTATTTTAAGAAATGACAATATAATTGTTATAGCTGTTATAAATAGTCTTGTGTTTCATATGGAGATCTGTTTTTTGCATAGTAAACAACTGGCCATATATACCACTCTGATTTAGACTTCCAGGAATCAAAACTGGTGATTAAAGAATTGTCAATCAGAGAAAGTAAACAGTATTTGTACCATTTGCATTGTAAGCTCTATAACCCTGTTCAGTGCATCTGCCTCCATTTCGGTTTCTTAGGCAGTGTAACCAGTTTTAAGGGTCTGTATATTTCTTTTTTTCTTTGATTTGATGCTTTTTTCTTTGTAAATGTCAGACATTTGCCAGCATGCGGTGGACACATCGTAGAAGTTGATTAAGAAGAAAAAACAAAGTTAAAAAAAAAAAAATCTTCTTTCCCAGCATATTGTTTTATATAAATACTTGATGTTTTCTGTGGATAGTGAAACAGGATTGTCAGTTCTGTCACTGTTTGAGAATGTTGTATGAGGATTTCTTTTCTGGTGGTTATCGGATACAATGAAGGCTGTTTAGATCAATGTCATTTTTCAAAGTGTAATCTAGGACATACTAAAATTGTATGAAGTCATTCCCCTGCTCCTTGGCAAGCATAACCAGATCAGGATTTTATCAGGTGGTCTTTAAGGGTAAACATTTAAATAAGCTCTTGGGCTGATTATGATTTCACATTTGCTGCTCCAAAATCAATTGCTAAGTGACCTTATGGTCCCAAATAAATTTCAGTCCTCTGTTCTCCCCACTCCGCCCCCCAATTCCCCTTACTCCCCCCCTTTTTCTTTCCTTGATATACTAGGATTTTGGATGCCCTTATATCCAAAAGCACAGTACCTACAATTTCAATCTTGAGAGTCATAGTAAAATATAGTATAACATACTGTATTGTAAAGCACGTTATATCCTTTTTTTCCTAGAGGCTGGGGCTATTTTTTTTCCCTTACATTTTGTATTCTGCTTGTGGACTTTGAGTTAAGTAAAAATGACAGTTTCTTCCTGGAAGACAATGTGTTTGTTACAGACTGTTTTGATGGTGTATACTGTTTCACTAATTACATTGAAAAAATGAATTAACTCAGCAAATGCTTGCTGTCCCACGCAATATTTCTGAACAGGCAAAGGGGCTGTGGAGGATATTTCACAAATAGATCTATTTGCTTCCTGAAGAATTACAATTCCTGAAATCTTGAGCAGGCTCAAACTGGAGTCTAGGGGTCTGTTTTGTTCTGCACCTTCACAGAATATTACAGAATTACAAAGACTCTGGTCCTACCTTCTGGAAGCTGGGACCTGTATTAGGTTATCCAGGGCCTTGTTAGGCCAGATTGTGAATACTTTCAGTGAGGGAAAGATTCCACTGCTTTTCCAGACAATCTGTTCCAGTGTTTATTTTTTTTTCCCCAGTAAAGTATTGTTTCTTGTATCGAGACAGAATTTCCCTAAAGCAACTTGTGCCTGTTGCCTCTTGTCATGTCGCTGTGCATCCTTGTGAAAGGAGTGCCTGTGTTTTCTCTGTAACTACCCTGTAGGTATTGGAAAACTGTGATTAGATTCCCCTTGCATGTTCTCTTCTCTAGGTTGAACAAACCCAGTCCCTTGAATGATTCTTTGTGTGCGTGTAGCACAGTGCAATTTGGTTTCTATAGTGATTGACCTAGTGGATGTCATTTGGGGCGTGGACACCTTTGTCTCCTACTTTTTGGTACCATTTGAAAGGTGTAGCAGTACTGTTTTAATGTATTGGGCACGCTAGTCTTGACACTCAACTTTTCCAAGGTGAGGTTAAATTTTTGGGTTACTAGCAAGTCAATTCTATTAAAATAATCTGGTTTGCAAGAAAAAGTACACACACAAAAAGAAAACTAGAACCAGCACTTCTGACAGTGTGCTTTTTCTCCCATCCTTTGTCACTAGCTTCCCTTTTTGAGGCATCTCGTCCGTGTTTGTGTTTTAGCAATAACTTTTGTGATCCTGATGATCCTGTGTCATTGGAGAGAGCTGTTCTCTTTTAATGGCAATTTGTCATTATGTGGTGGCAGTATAGTTCCTGAACAGTTCAGGGTGGTTCTCAAGTTCTCTATTTGTGCTGAGAAGTGGACGGTGTGTGTGTATGTGTATGTGCATGCACACATGGGTTATTTCAGTTAGGCGGTTAAATTAGACACGGTCTGTTATAACCTGTGTTGAGTGTCTTACAGCACCATGATCTTCTGCAGAATAACTATCAGATCTCTCTGGATCTTTCATACCAGTTTGTATCTTCAAAAAGGTAGCAGATGATACTGTCATTTCATAAAAGCTTCTTCCTTAGGAAAATCAATGGAGAGATTAGGTCAATACTGCTAGAAGATTTTTAGTTCCAGGTTATACTGATACTGTAATAGTGAAATGCAATTTACAAGCAAGTAATTTCTTCTTCATCAACACCCATTTAAATCTATAACTAGAAACACAGGAGCATATTGTATGCTGGTGCAGGTGCTGATTTCTTAATTACCAATTCTGTTACCCACACACCTGTTAACCGGGTAGTATTTGAACACATGGTCTAATGATTAAAGATGCCAGTTAAAGGATGTCTGTTTGGGTGGGGAAAACAGTATCTGACAATTAGCACTCTTGTCTAGATGATCTTAACAGCTTGTGATATCTCCTGGAAATTACGGGTCAACAGTCCTTATGTCAGCCATCAACATTTTGTACAGACTGCTTACGGTTTGTTGTTGTCATATGGCATGCATTAACTTTAAGGTAGTCTGACCTAGTTGAAAAGTGAAAAGTCACATCTACCTGATTTCTGCTAAGTGACTGACACCACTTGGAGCAGGGCCACAATTTACTGACTAGTTACTGTGTTCCTCTTAATCAGGTTTGCTATATCGGTGTAGTTATATACATACACATTCTTTAGTTGCTCTTTATAGACCATATTTTTTGTTTGCCTCTTGCCTTGAGTTTCAGTTCCAAAAGTTGACACTTAAAGGTAGCTCTAATAGGTTTTTTTAAATCCTGTATTCTGTTATTCAATAGCACTACACGTCACTGTGTAGCAGTATTGCTTAAACACAAAGTCTCTTTTTAATGAATTTTTGAGTTATTTTATTTTGGAATAGACAAATGTTACTCTCTGCAAGTTTCAGAAGTGAACTTTGCTTGTATCTGTAAGATATGCCATTCTATATAGTAAAGTTCTATGGATAAGTGATACTGCCAAGTCCCATCTGTCTCTGTGAATAATGGGTAGTTAAATACTAATTTTAAATTCTCTGAACAAATTATGTTTTTCTTTGTGCATCCCAGGGCAAAAGAACCCAGTCGGTTAACAGAGTACACTGGAAGTGATTGAGTGGAGAGTGAAGAATGCACATTCATTTTTAAATGTATGACGTTTTAGGGATATAAATGTGTAATTATTGGATTTACACCTTGTAAAAAAAACCTATTTTTTTTCCTTTTTCACCTAACTGTTGGTAAATTTTAAACTACAGAGTTCAGAACATTACCCGTTTCCCCTACATGCAGGGGAGCACAGTGTAACATGTTCTGCTTATAGAAGATTCCAAAGACTCTTTGTCATATTAATAACATTATTGTATGTTTTTTGCTTTCATACCTTTATAATTTCTCATGCATTGAGCCCACTATATTGATATATTATTTTGCCAGGATAGCCATTATACAAGATTTTAAAAAGCAGATTAACCAACCAACAGTTCCATCCCCTCTGACCTTCCAGATGAACCACTCTCTTCCTCTCGGACTCTTGACTTAATGAAGTTGTTGCTCAGAAAAGGTCAGGGGTTGCAAGACCTGGAGACTGATGGTAATTTCAGAAGAAAACACACTTAGCACTGGAAGGACTTCTAAAGGAAAGGCATTTGTTAGTGTAGTTTTGAAACCATTCTTGCTGTTTGTGTACTCCTATGTCTGTGGTTGTGCACCTTTCTTCAAATAAATAAAAGCTTTCTAAGCTTTCAGGGAGGGGCGACAGCTGTTTGGCCAGAAGTGACCACTTCTGTGGTTGAAAAGATAACTTCTCTCATGTTACCTGTGCCGAGGGAAACAACAAAAGAAATACCAACTGTTTTCAGGTCTGGTACAGGTTTTAGGGTTGTGGATGCCTACCCAGTAGATCGACAATGAATTTCCTGTAGTAAGACATTTCTCATAGGTCTCAGCATCGTCAAACACATTGCATATTATTGCCAACTTGCTTCCATCTAAACTGGTGATTTGATGACTGTGAGCCCTCTTGCCCACTTCTAAACCTTTTAACTATCCAATAAGTTGCTTGCTGTGGCCCTGTGAAGGGAATGAAGTCTGAAACATCTGCCTCTGGCTCCATCTACAGTTATGTGGCAAATGGCGTGATGGCAATTAAATAATCCTGGAAAACTAGACACTTCTTTCCTGCAGAAATGTAGAGCGACCGTATGCATTTCTAAAAACTGTAGAAATTATGTAGTGATAAACTAGCACATTTAGGCAAACTGGACTGACAAATTAAGCTTTCACTTCCCAGGGAGAATTTAAGAGTAATGTCTTGACTGATGGCAGCTTTTGGGTTTTTCTCTTGCAGCTAGTGAGAGAGTGTAAAGAGGTTCTGAAGGGTGGCCTGTTAATGAAGCAATATTACCAGTTTATGTTACGGGAGGTGTTAGATGACTTACAAAAGATTGACTGCAACATTGATTCTTTTGAAGAGGACTTGCATAAAATGTTAATGGTAAGCTTCAAAAAGGAGAAAATATTTGAAGTTCTAGTAAGTGTATTAATCTGAATACTGCTAATAGAAATCTACTGTCCCTGTTGGGTATGGGTCTTGCTAATTTTTTTGTTGTTGTTATGCTATTTTAATATTATTTTATTGTTTTAATGGACTTGTAAAGGTAACACAGTAGCCATTGTCATTGTAGCAATGATTTTATCAATACTGATTTTTTGTTTACTGGACTGTGGCACAGTGTACATGTAAAATGCCTGTATTTACAATAAAATGGTTCATAAATAGAACTGTAAATTCCATACATTTAAACTAAACTGTTAGTAACATTTTAGTATTGAATAAAAAAATACAGCTGTTTGACTAACATCATGTCTTAATATCTTGGTATTGCATTCATCCATGAATGATGCCCTATTTTTAATGTGTATTCATTATTGTAATAAGTTAAACACAATGAAGTAATTTCAAGACAAATACTTGGCCTCTGAAAGATATTAAATGAGATATTCTTTAGTAAATTTAGTTTAAATGACTGTTTCTTTGGATGTGACTGATTTTTATTCTTTTGTGAGTTTGAATTTTGTCCTCGCTATTCAGGGGTGGGGAGGGGAACCCAAAACCAAGATACACCTCAATACCTCATTGCTAGTGTTTTGTCAGCAGAGCTGTTGGTACCAGTATTGTTGAGTATGCGTGGATTTTCCTATTACATGCTTTTCATTGCCTGCAGTGGTGAAAATATGTCATGCTTTATAGTTTCTTGTGCTGCATGTCTGCCTTCATGTTCATTTGAAATTTGTGGAAACTTCCAGAAGAAATGGCTTGGCTAGAAGAAAGGAAAATAGTTCATCTTGTCCATTTTGAAATTCCGAAATGCCTTACCTCTTTTTTTTTTTATTTTTAAAATTTTTTATTTAGCTGTAATGTTTTTGTGCTTTGAGGCACGAGCTTGAACTTTGGCAGCAGTTTTAATTGTATAAGTATTTTGCTTTTTGTAGGTCTTGAAATGGATGGTAACAAGACTGTGTAACTAGGAGCAAATATATCAGACTTCTGTGATCAGAATCACAGTTTGTGCCTATTACAGAGTTGCTGGTTACTGTAGCGCCAGCAGCAGGGGAGAAAGATTGGATGAATGGTCAAGTTTGTAAGAAGACTGGGACAGCTGGGCAAAAAGAGCTGAAGAGATGGTCTGGACTGAAAATAGGGATAGGGAAAACTTGTATGAAATCCAAAGGTTAAGACAGGACCAATGAAGGGTGGGGGGTGGAACTTACTCTTTGGCTTTTCCTGTGGACTCTTTGTATAGGCAGGCAAGGTAACCAAGAAGAGTACTGGAAGAGTTATTAGGCTGAGAGTGAAAGGTGAATTAAAGTCAAGAATGGGGCCACAGCCTCAAGCTATCAGAACACAGTACCTACCTAACTCAGAGTAGAGTTTTAAGGTTTTCTTTATCTACTCTGCTCTCATGAGACCCCACCTGGAGTAATGCATTCAGCTCTGGGGCCCCCAGCATACAAAAGACACAGACCTGCTTGAGTGGGCCCAGAGGAGGGCCACAAAAATGATCAATGGGCAGGCTGAGAGACTTGGGATTGTTCAGCCTAGAGAAGGCTCCCAGGAGACCTTATAGCAGCCTTCCAGTATGTGAAGGGGGCCTACAGGAAAGATGGGGACAGACTTTTTATGAGGAAGCATCATGATAGGATGAGGGGTAATGGTTTTAAACTGAAAGATGATTTAGATTGAAACTGATTTAGATTAAATATTAGGAGGAAATTCCTTACTGTGAGGGTGGTGAGACACTGGAACAGGTTGTCCGGAGAAGTTGTGGATGCCCCATCTCTGGCAGCATTCAAGGCCAGGTTGGATAAGGCTTTGAGCAACCTAGTCTAGTGGAAGGTGTCCCTGCCCATGGTAGGAGGGTTGGAACTAGATGATCTTTAAGGTCCTTTCCAGGCCAAACAATTCTATGATTCTGTGATCTTGGCATTATTACAGTGTGGTCCGAAAATACCTGAAACCAGTGGGAAGTGTCTTAACCATTTCTAAGGAGTGACATTGCTTGATGTTATGGATTATTGAACTAAACCAAACTGCAGCTAATTTTTTGCATTCAGTATGATCTGATGCAGCAGATGTTTGAAGAAGAATTGTACTCACCTCGATTTTTGTGTTGGTTTAAAACAATGATAATCAAATAAAGGCAAGATATAAGTCTTGATTTGAAGGAATACAAGGTATAATGTAGAATCTGAGAAGCCTGTTCAATGCGCTTATCCATATTCAGGAGGATATGTTCAGACAAAACCTTTTGGAGTAATACAGTTAATAAAAGGTTTAGAAACTGGTTTTCAGTAGTCAAGCTTTAGAAACTCTGGCCGCTGTGGGTATTCACTGATACAATGGTGAATAGCAGCACAGCAAGCGAGGTGGTGGTACTGTCAATATTTTCAGAAAAGTATCGTGGAGACATAATATTTAATACTTCAGTAGCACTTTTTACTTCCCAAGCCATAAATAGCGTATTTTGTATGGAGATGCATAGCTCATTTTCAGTCATAGCAAACAAAAAATATTGTTGAAATATTCCCTACCAATTGTATAATATGGAGACTGTTGATTTGAGAAGTTATGGTCCTTAGTTACATGTTGTGTAACAATTTCTGTTTGAATTATCTCTTTCCATGTACAGGTTTACTTTGATTATATGCGAAGCTGGATCCAAATGCTACAGCAGTTACCTCAAGCGTCTCATAGTTTAAAAAACCTGTTGGAGGAAGAATGGAATTTCACCAAAGAAATAACTCCTTATATAAGAGGAGGTGAAGCTCAAGCTGGAAAACTATTCTGGTAGGTATTATTTAATTACTCTGCTGATGGTGTTGATTTGTACCAGATAACATATTCAAGTCAGCACTTGTTCAGGGTTCCCACATTGGGCTCCTTGAGGCCTCAGTAAGCCATTGATAGTCTTTGTGGATATATGGACTATTACAATGACTGTGGATACAGGATGCTGTAAGTGCAGATTGCTCTTACTCTAGCTATAACAGGAATGACTGCTTGTATGGAGAGTCCCCGCTCCTGCTAGCCCTGTGCACATAGCGTTACTGAGGGCCCCCAAGACGCTGCTTGTTTCTGCGGGCAGACTTGGCAGCTCTCTTGTGTTGGACAGAGTAGGAAGAAATTTAAGGTGCCATACTACCTGAATAAGACTCTGAA